AATACTATGGAACTATAATCAGGTTGGTGCTGTGCTGAAGGCATGTTATGCTGTGCTGCAGGCATCTCTGTAGTCAAAACACTTTACTGTTCACATTGGGCATCAGCATGAAATGTCCATTGCCAAATTATACCAAATGGCAAGCACCACGTGCATATTTGTGATAAATCAGATTCAGATGTAAAAAAATCTTAATAAGCAGATGCTTCTGCTGAGAATGGGTAGGGAAGAAGTGAGCATTAGCAGTGTTCTGGCTTAAAAAATATCTCTGCAGTACTTTTAGGTATTCTTGTCACTTTTTTTCATCAAGCTTTTTATTCTTTTGCCTGGACTCTGATAGAGGTTGTTCTTTGCCCTTTCACTTCTGCCCTTGCTGGTTTTGCTTTCTCTTCCTCTGTTTCAATTTTCACTCTCCTCCTTGTATTTTTCAGTCGTGGTGAGCAGACTTCTGCAAAGTATGAAACTCATGTTCTGGTCTCTGCAAACAGCCAGGATTAGGGCTCCTTTTACCCTCTTCTGCTAAGAGTTTGCTGTCCCGGAGAAGCTCTTGACCTCACATTTTTTGGTGATACTTCATTTTGTTTCTAGAAGGGATGTTATCTTACTAGGTGCTAGGATAGATCAACTGTGCAATGGTCCCAGTCTGAAAAGGGACAGCAAGATTTGTAGGAAATGTGTTAAATTTTGGGGGCTAAAAAAAAAATTCCAATAAAATTATGCAGCGGAGCTGTGGCAGTCACTGAATCTGGTGGCTCGGTAAATGCAAAGTGCTGACCTGTTCTCTAGCTGCATGATTTAGCCTGTTTTATTTGTTCTGTCGTCTCTGATGTTAAGTAATAGAACTGAGAGCACATGGACACGGTTACTTTCAGTGACCACAAGCATGAACTTCTGTAGTGTAACTGTCTGAAAGAAAATGCTGAAAATACTAAGAAATTATTAGGTGCTCTCTCAGGAGAAGAGGAGGTGGCAGCTCAGTTTAAGGAAGTTTTCCGGAGCAGACATGCTGAGCTCCATGTTACCTGATGCACGGTATGCCAGATTGCCCATTACTGTTTTTCCTTTTTTTTATTAGAAAAGGTGCTGTTTTGGCCTCTTCCAAAATAAGAAGCATTTTCCTTATGACGTGCTTGGCAAATAACGCAGTTAAGACATCTCAGAATTGCCTATGGCACAGGCTTGTTCTAGTCTTGGTGAAGAGTACAGCAATCATCTCACTTAAAGTTACCTTTTTAAAAACACTGTAACTAAGTTACATTTGAAAGGAGAAGTGAATTCTGGAGGTCACAACATTCAGAGGTTTCATATTATGGAGGTAAACAAAGTTGGTTTTCTTTATGGTGTTAATAGAATTAATGAAACTAGCAGCTCCTATAACAATATTTGTATGTTGATACCGTATAAATACCGCATTTATGAAAAAATAAATGGAAAGTTTGAGGTCTTGGTTTAAATTTTTAGTTTGACCTTGAAAAACATTCCCAGATGGAGAGAGTTAAACGAGCCCAGCTTTGAAAGAGGAACATATGAATCACGGTTGCTAGGCTCTTCCTTGAGAGGCACAGGCTTTACATTTACAGTGAAGTATTTCAAAAAGTAATCTTTAAACTCGGAGGAACAGTGCGTTTGAAATGACACTGGTGAAATACTATAAACTTCATTAGACTTTTAAATAGAGAATTTGCATGTCATTAAATGAAACGGGTATGAAGTATTAGACGTTAGAATACCAACTGCAAGACTTGTGAACTTTCCTAAGTGGTTGGGGGGGGGAGGGAAACAGAGAAATTGGGCATCCATCTCCTACTTTTGGTACATACTTCTTACGTAAGTTTTGTTGAACTATTTTGTATAATATTCTCTTAACACTTGCACTGTCTCATTTGTCATTCTCATAACAGCGCCGCATAGGTGTTTGCCCCGTTGGAACACAGAAACCGAAATAAGATTTCCCTGAAACCTGCTCTTGCTCTGCTTAACTAAAATAACAGTGAAGCACGTTAAACACGTGGGAGCTTACCCGCCCGAGGCTCCTGGGTTGGGAAGTGTGGATTCAGGTCTCTTCCAGTCTTCTTAAGTGGTCTTGGTTGGGTCATGCTCCCCACGGTTCCAAACCTGTTGTTAAAACTAACGTTCAGCTCTCCACGAAGCACTGACACTGGGTTTTGCCCCCTGGTATCTAGTCTGTGGGCTGGTCTCGCGTGTCCATGCAGTGCTCGGCATAGTTGGGTTCCAGTCTTATTTGGGGCCCTACGGGTTTCTCTGAGAAAAGGATTTGATTGTATCTATTTTAAATAAATGCTTTGATAATAAAAAGCTATAGTTTATTTTACCTTATATGAGAAAACAAAAGGAATTGCATTTAGGACTCCAACCTTCCCGCTATTCCCTTGCTGGTTACATTCAGCTGCTGCTCTATTATCGGTGCTGTCGGAGAGTACTGCGGGGGCAGGAGATCTCTTACCTTGGTTTGTGTGATCTGGCTGGAGCCTTGGGCACGACTTCCTTTGAAATCTCAGTTATGATTTTGGGTATGAGGCAAATCCTTGTTTTTTTCCTGTGTCAGGTGGGTTTTTTCCTGTGTCAAGAATGGTTCTTTATTAGTTTCTGTGTTTCCTAGTGTTTTGGCATTGCTTTCTGTCACCTGGAGCGTTGATTTTAAAACTCAGAAGATGAGCATCCTTTATGCTGTGAAGCATGTAAATTATTCAGATTTCTTGGAACCCCCAAACTGAAATAGGAAAACATTTTCGTTTATATCAAGTTCTGCCAATTCGTTTCACTTGTCATTTAAAATTGCAGCTCCATATTGCCAGCAAATACTCACAAATGGGGACTTAAATAGAGCGAGCACGATGTCTCGGACTAGTGTCAAGGAGTGCTTTATCTTGCACGAGACACAGAAGTAGGCAATCCTTTCCTCCTGTTAATGATTTCCCCCCCCACCTCCCCGCATTCTGTACAAGCTGGCGTAAAGTCTGTGAATCCAGTGTTGTCTGAAAGGTACGGCTGTGAGAACAGGTTACAGGGTGTGGATTTACAGTTCGTTAGACATTATCCGGGAGTAACCTGTCTGTGTGCTATTACCAATGGAAATAGCAGGCACCGCGCGCTGTTACTGTCGCATTCATCACGGTGTATTAGTAGTCAAATGGAAGTGACCCTCGAGTATTTGCTTGCCGTGTGGATACTTTTTTACGCAGGCATACCCAGAGAGCTCCTGCATGGAATATTAGTGATGACGTTTAAATTTATGCTTCCCCCCCCCCCCCAACTAGCTTAATATTACATCACACAGAGTAGATATTGAAAAATAGAGGTTTATTATTCCTGTCTGATTCCCCCCCCCCAGCATACATTTACTCAGTTTTGCCTAGTTTGCAGTATATTCCGTGTGCCTGAGGTCTTAATACTATTTAAATATAATTATCAGATTAATAAATAAGTAAAAGCTGCTACTTAATGAAGTGCAAATCATTTTATAATCTATTATTTATTTAATGTAACCTCAGTTGCGAGAAGGTGCCTGTGATTTTAGATAAGCGTAGGTCTGATCTGTCACAGCCATGTCCAGTGTCAATGGTCATTGTATTTGTGTCCGACTGCAAAATCCAGTTGCAGCTGTTATTGCAGGTATCACCCTTAATTTTAATGTAGCACTAATAAGGTATTTGGAAAACTTGGGATAGACCTTATTTTTTTTAAAGAAAGGTACTGAAATTTTTGTGATGAAGGTGCTTACTTACAAAGGGAGCCCTTTAATTCTGGAAGCTGTTCGGTGCGGATACGTTCTTTTGTCTGCAAGAAACAAAGTGGAGTCCGTGGGGCTCGACGGGGCTGACAGCATCGCACGGCCGGCAGTTACCTTGGGTTATGGCGCATTCGCTCTTAAAATGCAGCCCACTCCATTTATTTCATAACTGGTGTTCCGTTAATGATCAAAAAGATGGATGTTGTTAAAAATACACATAGGCAAGTTGGTAGCTTTAAAACAAAACTCTGGTGTCAGTTCTAGCACGGAGGTAAATAAGTTTAAGTTAATTTCTAAGTTAATGTTAACATAAATCTATTACTTGAGGGTTTTTTTAAGAAAATAAGTTTTCTTATCAGTTTTAAACCTTTAAATAGTGTTATAGATCCCTTAGCCACATGCTTTGGCAATAATGAATTTATACTCTTATGTTTGCAGTTTCTTATTTTTTGTCTTCTAATGATCAAATAACACTTTTAGTTATGTACATAAATGTAATATACCTTTAAGTTGTGTAGTAAATATTGCATTTAACGCTCCAGTAGTCTCTGAATGCAGTTCTAAATGTTAAACTATATTCTTAAGAAACTGTATTCTTAAAAACAAAATTGTAGAAACTAATTTTATTATAAAAGTCTGGAAGTATGTGTGTTATCTCTGAAATCCACACATGCTCTGACATACTGTTATCTCTATTTCTCTTATATAGTTGTTACACAGATCTCTGGCAGCAGATGGCTGGACTATAATGCACTGTTAAACAAATAAAACCATTAGGCATGTAATACTGCCTGGTAAATGACTGTGTGTTTAAAATGGTTTAAAAAAATTAAATAGAAAATAAAGTTCGTTTTTTGAATTCATTTAATGAAATTGGTATAAAATCCAAACCCCTTTCAGAACACGTAAAATATCCCCTCTTATGTTGTGTTTGTCATTTGAAGTCAGCCTTTTTTTATTACATTCTTGCATCTGGTATAAGATAATCAGTCCTAAATCAGTTTTCTAATAGATGTTTTCTACAAGTAATCGCTCATTTTACATTTATCTTTGTAGGAAGATTTTTGCTTTTGTAATACTCCAGCACAAAATTATCTATTGCATTATATGCTCTTTTTTGCCTCATTTTCAAATTTGATACAAATGTATTAAAATTATGATTCAACACTAGTGTCATGGCTCTGTAATTAAACTGTTTTTCAATAATTGTCAGCAGCTGAGAGATGCCATTTTGTCTTTTTGTTTTTAGATATGCCAATATTTGGTCTTTGCCCGGCTCATGATGATTTCTATTTGGTGATGTGTAACCACTGTAATCAGGTCGTAAAACCACAGGCATTTCAATCACATTATGGTAAGTGCTTAACTATTTTTAATAATTAAGGGTGAGGTTAAATCAGGATTAAGCCTGGCAATTTTTTTTTTAATCGATGGTACATAGATCATTACATTATAAATAATGTCAAAGATCATAACCTGTGCTTAATTATTTTATATACATTGTAATGCAGTTACATAAAGATCTTGTTCCTTTTAATTTTTTAATGTCTTCTTGAAATGCTGCACACATACAGTTCAATTCTGGAATGACATATATATGAGTATTTCACAGACAGTAGGTGTAGCGTGTTTGTGTCTGTGTGTGTCATTTCTCCTTGTCTCTTTATACAAATTATTTTTACACGGGTTCTGTCACAGCGTGAACTGTGAACTTTAGCTAAAAGCTAAACTTACAAATTTTGTTGTAAAACATAGTATGCTTCCAGTGGCCAGTAAGCTTACTTATTTATTTTCAGAAGTATCAATCTGTATTTGTTTTACTGGTCCGATGGTTTTGTATATAAACTATGCTAGGAAGCTCTTGTTGTGTTGGTTGGTGTTAGCCAGTGTTTACAGAGGAATGAGAAAATGTGAAGTGCTATGCAAGTTCAAGTGCTCTGTTGCTTCCTACAAACCTAACTGGGGGAGGTTGGCAGTGCTTGTTCATATTCCTCTCAAGCTTAGAAATGAATCTCAAACAATTTCATGCCAATATTTGGTTAGGAGGTTTTGGGTATTCAGCTTTTTGTTTCTTGAGAAATTCAGGAGATGGCTTCTAACCAAGTGCTAATAAAAAAGATGGACAAACCAGCTTCTGAAGTACTCCTCCCCCCTCTTGTGTGTACGTATTTATGTGTTCCCTTTTTTTCTTGCCCAGTGCACCTACTGAGTGTGCCTCAGTGTTTAAAAGGATAGAAAATGCTGGATATGGGTGGGGAGGCTTTTCTAGTGTTCAGAACAAGGGATACCTTTTCTTGCATCTTAAATACTCCATCCCTTTGGCAAGAAAAGGCATATTCCCTTCTGCTTCCTAGAGGCTGGGAAGGGGGTCTTCCTAGAGACTGGGAAAGGGGTCTTCCTATGCTATGCAGAGGGTGAACTTCTTATCCTTTCCACCTCTCACTTGGGGTTTTTTGTGTTATAATGCCTTATAGATTATACCTCTACCCTTGCTGCTGGATTCCTGCAGTTGTGTCACGCAGTGTCTTGGAGAAGAATCTGATAGGTCTTGTGGCATAATTCTTACCAGTCTGGTGGTTATTCCATGGATGGCAGTGGTAATCAAATTTTTTGAAAACCCACAATTTTGTGGATGTAGGTCTACAGAGCTGTAGGGAGTCAGAAGAACAGAAGGACATCAGCTTTTCTTACTCTAGTTGCTATAAGCTTTTGTGTCAGCTGAGAGCAAGTCCACCCCTTGCCAGCCTGATTCCTCACCTGTCACTGAGTATCAGTTTGGGATGTCCAATAAGTCCTCCTAAAATATCATATTAAATTGATTTGGACAGTTAAAAATACATTTATGGGGGAGGACTGGATGGTACCCAGTTCTGAGTGTTGGCATATTGAATCTTCCATCTTGAGGTCAGTAATATGGAACTGGCTCAGGTTGGTAGTGATGGAGAGCAGTGGATATCTGCAGGCACTTTAGGTTGTCTTTCAGAAATGAGCAGGTGATCTCCAAATACTGTCTGACAAATGGGTATCTGTACTGTAGGAACCAGAATTGTAGTTGTTGGCCTGACAGCCTTGTGGGCAGATTGAAGAAGCAGTTCAGGAACTGAACAGGTATGGCATTGCTTCTTGACCGTGGACATGAAAACATGGGGTGTTGTAATGCTCCTTCTAGCAGTGTTAAACTTGTTACAAGAAGTTAGTTCAAATGCTTCTGTAAGCACTACTTGCAATTTAAAAGGGACAGAGTGAAGAGGGAACTACAAAATGAATGTATGGAAAACATTTTAAAAAAAAAAAAAATAAATACTAACGTAATGTTCCCATTCTGTATCACACTGTAGGAGTGTGTTCTCTTAACATGAAACTGTCTCTGATGTAAGCCTTGCATCAATGGCAGATTCATACTTTGAGAGAAATGTAGAAGGAGGGGATGGAAAGGACAAGGTTATTCTTAATATTTCTGAAGCCCGTTCTGAACAATGAAGGCGCTCCGCAAGGGCTGCGGCGTGCAGAGGAAACAGGCGGAGTCATTCTGATGAGAAAAACAGGCTTGGGTGGGGTGAATGTCATTAAAGGACCTTAGTTTGCCAAACTAATAGCCTCAGAAAGGTAAGAAGGCTGACCTGATGGTTTTGTGTGGAGCTAGTGCTCTCCTTGCTTTTTATCAGCCTTCACATTCTTGAAATCCTGATGCAGTTGTCCCTCACTTTAGCAAATTCAGTGTGAAAGCTGATATATATGGCAGGTGATTGATTACCAGGCAAGGGGGTATTTTTATTTTTTTTTTTTGTTTAAATATGGTGTACTTCCGGAGAAGGAAATTGCTGAAGTCCTCAAAACACACAGTTCTTTTAAAACAAAAAGTATGCTATCATGATAACAAGAAAATAAAATACTCTTTGGATTCATCGTGGTCAGTTTTCCCTGATTTAGGTCTTTTATTTGTGGCACTATTTCAGAGACTGATAAAGGAGAGATTATTTCCAACAAGCTCTGAAAAATTACAGTGCATCAATGAAGCTGTACCTTTGTGATGTTCTTGGGGTCTTCTAAAGTTATTTTTGTTACCAGAGGAATAATGATCTCTTTAAAATATTCTATAACTCCTGGTGGTATGTGTTGCTTGTACTTGGTGTTCTTTGAAACTTGTCACATGGGATTTTATTTTCTGAAGTAGAATAGGCTCTTTTAAAATGTCACTTTTGTCAAAGGAAGGCTAAACAAACTATGAGCTAAAAACTAATGAGCTAATTAATTTCTTCCAAAGCATATTTGCAATAAACTGCTTACCTAGGTAGGCTGACAGCGCTTTGCAGGGCATATGCTTTTTTCCTTGGACCACAAGTAGTCAGAAATAATTTAAATGTAACTTTGTTCATCAGAATATTTGACCTTTTTAGTAACATACTTTATTGATACAAATCACAGACTTTTGTATGTAACCGATACTTTTATATTTCATGTGTTTTAATTGGTTAGAAGAGGTATTAATTCAAAATTCGACTTTCTGAGGCAATCTAAGCATGCATTTGGAGTATGTATTGCCATTTTAATAATTTATACAGTTGGTATACATACTATCGCTCGTTTGTCAAACTCGGTGACGTATTTGGTATGCGTAACACCATGTGTAGGTTTGCTTTTAAAAGCAATCTACTGTCATGAGATATCAGAAATCTGCTTGTGGCATCTCTTCTAGCCTGCGTCCAGTGGCTGTCAGTCCACTCAAATGGTTTCAGCCTCTTGGCCTCTGGTGGCAGCGATGCTGGGGATCTGGCAGGGCAGGAGCAGGCCAGCCAGCCCAGGAGAGTTGTTTCAAGGCAAATCCTCTGTTCTGTCAGGTCTCAGCTGTTTTGTTTGTGGGGCTGGACAAGGGATTTAAGTCCTTTATTGCCAGTATTCTTGCTGCAGCTTTTTGAATGGTTATGCTTTCATGGTACCAGCATCTGCCTTGGGTGGCTCAAGATGAATTCAGAGGTGAAAGATGGAAAAAAGGTGTAACGTTCAGGCATTCAGTCTTGTGGGTGAAGCACCCGAGAGCGCTTATCGTGATGACCTATTCTGAAAAAAAAGTCTTTTTCTCCAGTTGGAGTATTTCTCTACTCTCCGGATGATCGTGTGCCAGCCTCTCCAACTTCCATGCCGCGTAGACTCTCCCTCTGTATTTAAATCGTGTGTATCTCTTAAGTCCCTGCACAATTTCCTCTCTTATATATAAAATTGTTACAATAAAAATGACTTTGTCAAATTGCTAACTGTCATGCTCCTCAGGAGTGCCCCCTCGGCAGACAGCGGGATGTGCCCGAGTCCCTTTTATTTCTTCTCTCTCCTTCCCGCGAAAACATGCTAGATACGGTTCCCGTGCTGCACCGAGAGGTTGCTCTTTGAGGAAGTCATCGCGACAGTTATTTCAGGTTGTTCATGGAAACCCTGAAGTGACGTGGTTGTCGGGCTGTATGACCTTTCGGTGGTATTTCAGCCGTTCCACGGGTTTATCACATCTCCCTGTGGTTATCAGCCTCCTGTCTGAGGAGAGATGCTGCTCTGCACCATCTGGGCTGCCTTGTGGCTCAGAGGAGGGGAGGTAGCTCAGCAGCGTGGAAAGTAGCATCAGCGTAGAGATGTGGGGGTTCTTCCTTCTAATTTTTCCTTTTTTTTTTTTTTTTTTTTTTTTTGCAGAGTTGTTTTGTTTCCTCTGCACTTCTAATTTTTCCTTTTTTTTTTTTTTTTTTTCAGAGTTGTTTTGTTTCCTCTGTGCTTTGGTTTCTGTCAGTGTAAAGTGGGGTTAAACTCTCAGCGATAATTATGAAGGCTACCTGTAAAACTTAAACTGAGAGTACCCATGAGTCATGTAGTGATTGTGAAAACCATTAATACAGAATGTATTGGAAAGCGATGATGATAGCGTGTTGGGCTGTTGAGTCATAAAAAAGCTATGCCCAGTGTTTTGATTAACTTCCCCAGGTTTGGCATGCAGTGGCAAAGGTGAGCAGTGGTGTGAGCATTGCTGGCAGCTGCCTTGTGAACTGGTGGGGAATCGCTTAAGCATTCCAGTTTCTGATCAGTGCGTGTTTAAACCTGAAGGATAGGATAATAATACAGATTTATGTGCCTTTTGTGGTTTCTAGGAGGTTGTGAGATTGGAACAGAGCAGGTCAGCCCACAACCTTATACTCAGCCTGGAGAGACTCAGGGGGCAGACCCTGGTGGTAGAGAGATGTTCTCTTGTGTTACATACTTGGGTCCATCCTGCAAGTCAGCGTAAGGTCTCTCCTGAATCTCCCTCATCAACTGTATAACCCTGCTCCTTCCTCCCTCAGCCAGTTCTCACACCCACCTATAGTGAGCAGGTTTACT